GGCTTGGCGGCGAGGAGGGGGGGGGCCCGCGGCCAGCCCGCCGCCGCGCGTTGCGGCGGGCCCCGAGGCCACCCGAACCCCCCTTCAAGGGGGCCTCGGCTGCGCCCGGGCGGGAGTGCGTCCGCGCCTCCCGACGCTGACGCGCCCCCGCCCGGGGCGTCGGGCACTTCCCCGAGCGCGGGGGAACCGTCGCAGCGGATGGCGGCTTCTCCTGCGCGCGCTCAGTCTCGAGCGGGAAGAGGAGGAGGAGGGGGGGGGAGGAAGGGGGAGGAGAAGGACAAACTAGGTGCGCTCGCGTCATATCTGACGTCCTACCCCCCTCCCATCCCTTACCATGGCGTAGACATCCTCTCTATCGTAGTGGCATCCGACCAGTGCCGTCGATCCGGGGCGCCCCGGATGATAACGGCGACGATGGTGATGAAGATGATGACGAGGATGATGATGATGATGATGATGATGATGATGATGATGATGATGATGATGATGACGATGGCGATGGTGATGTGACGATGTGATGGAGATGGGGCTGGAGATGGCGACGATCCCGGCCCTCCCCCCCCCACCCCTCTCCTCTCTCCGCCCCCGCCCTTGTCCCCCCCCCTCGCTCTCTCCTTCTCCCTTCCCCCCCCCCACCCCCATCTCCCCTGTCCCGCCCCCTTCCCCTCTCTCATCTCCCCCTCCTCTCCCCCCCCTTTCCGCTCCTGCCCCCCCCCCCCTCTCTCCTGCACCCCCCTCTCTCCTTTTCCCCCTTTTCCCCCCTCCCTCCCCTTGCAGAGCCGCCCATCTGCAAAGCGGACCCCCCCGCCTTTCCCTGCAGCCTTCCCCTCCCTTGCAGGGCGCCATCTGCAAAGCGGACCCTCCGCCTTTCCCTGCAGCTCCCGCTTCCCGCCTGAAGGCCCCCCCCCCGCCCCCCTTTGCAGCCCCCCCCCCCCTCTTCCCCCCCCCCCCTCTTCTGCCCTCACCCTTGCATGCAAAGCAAAACTCCATGGGGGGCCGAAATCGAGAGGGGGGGGGCTGGCAGGAGGGAGGAAGGTGCCGAACGCAGAATTCGTCAGTTCATGAGGTCCCCCGTCCCCTCCTTCCCAAGCAGTGCTAAATCTCATGCTGAAGCAGAGCTTCAGCTTAAACTTCTTAAGCTCACACGCCGGATCGGCGGATTCGCACAGCCGGATGTCGAGCAGGGCGATGGTCTCGGAAAGGGTGCGCGATGCACCGTAGAGCACGGCATAGCAGGGCGTAGAAGAGCACGACAGAGCTTAGTATGTCACAGCATGGCGTCACGCGGTGAACAATTGCATCACAAATCGTTGCAACGCAAAGAAAGGGCATCGCACAGCGGCACAGACCAGAACACGGCATATAATTTCCTTGAAGACCAAAGCGTCGCATGGCATAACATGGCATAGCACTGCGTAGTCAACCATTGCAGGGCCGGAAGCGCGGAAATGAGGCCAGCGTTGTAGCGGGAACACGATTCGGAACGAACGGAAACGCGGAAATGAAACCAACGCTGCAGCGGGAGCACGATCCGGAACGAGCGGAAGCCCGAAAATGCGGCCAGCGACTCAGCGGGGACGACATGTTGAAAACAAACCCAAACGAAAATTCAATTCCTTAGAATCCTGCGCGCAAGAACTGAAGCACGCGGAGGGGGGCCGAACACCTTCTGGACGTCATCCGGGAAGAGAAAAGGAGCAGTATTCATAGTGTGTAATCGTGTAGGAGGAGCAGGAGGAGGAGGAGGAGGAGGAGGAAGAGGAAGAGGACGAACAGGAGGAGGGGGAGGAGGAGGAGGAGGAGGAGGAGGAGGAGGAGGAGGAACACGGGGAAGAGGAGGAGGAAAAGGAAGGATGCGAGGACGAGGAAGAGGAGGAGGAGAAAGGAGGAGAGAGGAGGAGGAGGAGGAGGAGAAAGAGGAGGAGGAGGAAGAGGAGGAAGAGGAGAAGGGAGGAAGAGGAAAAGGAGGAGGAGGAGGAGAAGAGGAGGAGCAGGAGAGAGGAGAGGAGGAGGAGGAGGAGGTGAGAGGAGGAGGAAGGGGACGAGGAGGAGGAGGAGGAGGAGAAGAGGAGGAGGAGGAGGGAGGGGAGGAGGAGGAGGAAGGGGACGAGGAGGAGGAGGAGGAGGAGGAAGAGAAGAAGAATACTACAATAATAATAATGTAGTAGTAGTAGTAGTAGTAGTAGTAGTAGTAGTTAGTAGTAGTAGTAGTAGTAGTAGTAGTAGTAGTAGTAGTAGTAGTAGTAGTAGTAGTGTAGTTAGTAGTAGTAGTAGTAGTAGTAGTAGTAGTAGTAGTAGTAGTAGTAGTAGTAGTAGTAGTAGTAGTGGTAGTAGTAGTAATAATAATAAGTATTATGCTAACGGAGCTCCCCACATAAAGAGATTAACGATGTTGTGGGACCCATTTTCTTGATGCCCTCCTCGCTCAGGCGGGGCCTCCTTGGAGGAGTGGGAGGGGCACGAAACCATGTACATAGTATGGTATTCCGATACCCTCCTC